TGGATTCTCTCAAATCATGGAAAGCTGGAGCTGACAGATGGGAGCTCACTCCCCAGATTAGAACCACCAACCTTTCGGTCAGCATTCTGTCACATAGAGGACGTCCAGGTGTTTTACCATCCTGAGGGAGGCTTCTCTCATGTTCCCGCATGAGAAGCTGGAGCTGACAGATGAGAGCTCACTCCCCAGATTTCAACCGCAAACCTTTCGGTCGGCAGTCTGTTGCCCAGAGAACACCTGGATGTTTTACCATCCTGCAGTTCGTCACCCAGAGGACGCCCAGATGTTTCACCATCCTGTGGGAGGCTTCTCTCATGTACCTGCATGGGAAGTTGGAGCTGACAGACAGGAACTCACCCCGCTCCCCGGATCTGAACCACCGACCTTTCGGTCAGCAGTCTGTCGCCCAGAGAACACCTGGATGTTTTACTATCCTGCAGTCCATTGCTCACAGGACACCCAGATGTTTTATCATCCTGCGGGAGGCTTCTCTCATGTCCCCGCATGGGAAGCTGGAGCTGACAGATGGGAGCTCACTCCCCAGATTAGAACCGTCAACCTTTCGGTCAGCATTCTGTCACGCAGAGGACATCCAGATGTTTTACCATCCTGCGAGAGGCTTCTCCCAAATCCCTGCATGGGAAGCTGGAGCTGACAGGTGGGAGCTCACTCCACTCCCCGGATTAGGACCACCTATCTTTCGGTCAGCAGTCTGTCACCCAGAGGACGTCCTGATATTTCATCATTCTGTGGGAGGCTTCTCTCATATCCCCACATAGGAAGCTGGAGCTGACAGACAGGAGCTCACTCCACTCCCCGGATTCAAACCACCGACCTTTCGGTCAGTACTCCGTTGCCCAGAGGACGCCCAGATGTTTTACCATCCTGTGGGAGGCTTCTCATGTTCCCGCATGGGAAGCTGGAGCTGACAGATGGGAGCTCACTCCACTCCCCGAATTTGAACTGCTGACATTTCAGTCAGCAATCTGTCACCCACAGGACACCCAGATGTTTTACCGTCCTGTGGGAGGCTTCTCTCATGTTCCCGCATGGGAAGCTGGAGCTGACAGATGGGAGCTCACTCCACTCCCCGGATTAGAACCACCGACCTTTCGGCTAGCAGTCTGTCGCCCAGAGGACGCCCAGATGTCTTACCATCCTGTGGGAGGCTTCTCCCAAATCCCTGCATGGGAAGCTGGAGCAGACAGACGGGAGCTCACTCCCCAGATTTGAACCGCAAACCTTTCGGTCGGCAGTCTGTCACGAAGAGGATGCCCAGATGTTTTACCATCCTGTGGGAGGCTTCTCTCAAGTTCCTGCATGGGAAGCTGGAGCTGACAGACTGGAGCTCACTCCATGGCTCTGAACCACCGACCTTTCAGTCAGCAGTCCATTGCTCAGAGGACGCCCTGATGTTTCATCATCCTGTGGGAGGCTTCTCTCATGTCCCCGCATGGGAAGCTGGAGCTGACAGAAGGGAGCTCACCCTACCCCCCAGATTCTAACCGCCGACCATTCGGTCAGCAGTCTGCTGCTCAGAGGACAACTGGATGTTTCACCGTCCTGTGGGAGGCTTCTCTCGTGTCCCTGAATCATCTTGCCTTCGTTGACTTTCTAACCCCGGACCATAAATGTTTTTGCTGTTCCGTGGAATTTGGATGATCAAGCTATTTCCCCAAACCTGTTGTATGAGCAATAGGTCAACTACTTCGTGCCTCTGGCAAATTTTTGCTCTTACCCGCAGGAGGTCAAATGTCACAGGATTGCCACCTTTACAAACAAAGGGCTGATTTTAAGGTAGGCGATTCAGGGAGTTGTAGTTCCCCTGCCAAGGGTCATTTCTCCCCAATTTCCTTTTGGAAGTTATAGCTTACTGCTAATTCCTCGGGGAATTATCCTTTACCCCAGCAATTCCTCTCCAACTTTCCTCGGAATTTATAATTATACTCTGGGACATATATATAGTTCTCTCCCCCCGCGCCCCCCCCCCCCCACAATTAGGACTATTCTGGGATCTGCAGTTCTCCCGAGCAATCTTCCAACTCTCCTCTGGGCATTATATAGATTTTCCTTCCAAGCAATGTTTCCCAAACTCTCCTTTGGGAGTTATAGTTGACTCCCAATGCAAAGTCTTCCCTACTCTTGTCTGGGAGTTATAGTCCACTCTGAAAGCAATGCCTCCCCAGCTCTTGTCTGGGAGTTATAGTTCACTGCCAAAGTAATGCCTCCCCAGCTCTTGTCTGGAAGTTATAGTACACTCCACAAGCAAAGCCTCCACAGCTCTTGTCTAGGAGTTATAGTTCCACTCTCAAAGCAATGCCTCCATAACTCTTGTCTGGGAGTTATAGTTCACTGCCAAAGTAATGCCTCCACAGCTCTTGTCTGAGAGTTATAGTTCACTCCACAAGCAAAGCCTCCACAGCTTTTGTCTGAGAGTTATAGTTCACTCCACAAGCAAAGTCTCCCCAGCTCTTGTCTGGGAGTTATAGTTCCACTCCCAAAGCAATGCTGCCACGAGTCCCTTCAAAGAGATGGAGGCGGGGTATAAAAATAAAGTTCTTCTTTGTGTGGGAGTTATAGTCCTCTCCCAAAGCAATGCCTCCCCAGCTCTTGTCTAGGAATTATAGTTGACTCCCAATGCAAAGTCTTCCCTACTCTTGTCTGGGAGTTATAGTCCACTCTGAAAGCAATGCCTCCCCAGCTCTTGTCTGGGAGTTATAGTTCACTGCCAAAGTAATTCCTCCCCAGCTCTTATCTGGAAGTTATAGTTCATTCCACAAGTAAAGCTTCCATAGCTCTTGTCTGGGAATTATAGTTCACTCTACACGCAATGCCTCCATAACTCTTGTCTGGAAGTTATAGTTCCACTCCCAAATCAATGCCTCCATAACTCTTGTCTAGGAGTTAATAGTTCACTCTACAAGCAATGCCTCCCCAGCTCTTGTCTGGAATTTATAGTTCACTCCACAAGCAATGCCTCCCCAGCTCTTGTCTGGGAGTTATAGGTCCACTCCTAAATCAATGCCTTCATAACTCTTGCCTGGGAGTTATAGTTCCATTTCCCAGCTCTTGCCTGGGAGTTATAGTCCACTCCCAAAGCAAAGCCTCTCCAGTTCTTGCCTGGGAGTTATAGTTCTCTTTCCAAATGACTTAGTTGTATCTCTCCCTAAGTCTAAATGTTCCCCCACCTTGCCACTGATACCCCATCTACACTGCCATATAACCCAATTTATGTGATTTGAACTGGATTACATGGCAGTGTAGACAGGGTCTCAGATACAAGTTAGGGATTTTATGTTGGTGTAGATGCAGGTGAGAGTAATAGTTCCACGTCTAAAGCCATATTCCCTCCAACTCTTCCCTTCCAGGTGTTTTGGACTCCAACTCCCACAATTCTTAACAGCCCAAGGCCCCTTCCTGAGTGTTTATGGTGACTGTAAGGACATAGGGAAAGCCTGGGCCAACTTGGGCCCTCCTTCCAGGTGTTTTGGACTTCCACAATTCCTAACAACCTCGTTTTGGACTCCAACTCCCATCATTCCTAACAGGCTCAGGCCTCTTCCTGAATGTTTATGTGTGTTTATGGTGACTGTAAGGGCATAGGGCAGGCCTGGGCCAACTTGGGCCCTCCTTCCAGGTATTCTGGACTTCAACTCCCACAATTCCTAACAGCGTCATTTTGGACTCCAACTCCCATCATTCCTAACAGCCTCAGAACCCTTCCTGAATGTTTATGTGTTTATGGTGACTGCAAGGACATAGGGCAGGCCTGGGCCAACTTGGGCCCTCCCTCCAGGTATTCTGGACTTCAACTCCCACAATTCCTAACAGCGTCATTTTGGACTCCAACTCCCATCATTCCTAACAGCCTCAGAACCCTTCCTGAATGTTTATGTGTTTATGGTGACTGCAAGGACATAGGGCAGGCCTGGGCCAACTTGGGCCCTCCCTCCAGGTGTTTTGGACTCCAACTCCCACCATTCCTAACACCCTCAGGCCCTTCCTGAGTGTTTATGGTGACTGTAAGGTCATAGGGCAGGCCTGGGCCAACTTTGGCCCTCCTTCCAGGTGTTTTGGACTCCAACTCCCACCATTCCTAACACCCTCAGGCCTCTTCCTGAATGTTTATGTGTGTTTATGGTGACTGTAAGGACATAGGGCGGGCCTGGCCCAACTTGGACCCTCCTTCCAGGTGTTTTGGACTTCAACTCCCACAATTCCTAACAGCCTCGTTTTGGACTCCAACTCCCACCATTCCTAACACCCTCAAGCCCTTCCTGAGTGTTTATGGTGACTGTAAGGGCATAGGGCAGGCATGGGCCAACTTGGACCCTCCTTCCAGGTGTTTTGGACTCCAACTCCCACCATTCCTAACACTCTCAGGCCCTTCCTGAATGTTTATGATGACTGTAAGGACATAGAGTAGGCATGGGCCAACTTGGGCCCTCCTTCCAGGTGTTTTGGACTCCAACTCCCACCATTCCTAACAGCCTCGTTTTGGACTTCAACTCCCACCATTCCTAACACCCTCAGGCCCTTCCTGAGTGTTTATGGTGACTGTAAGGATAGGGCAGGCCTGGGCCAACTTGGACCCTCCTTCCAGGTGTTTTGGACTCCAACTCCCACCATTCCTAACAGTCTCAGGCCCCTTCCTGAGTGTTTATGATGACTGTAAGGACATAGAGTAGGCATGGGCCAACTTGGGCCCTCCTTCCAGGTGTTTTGGACTCCAACTCCCACAATTCCTAACAGCCTCGTTTTGGACTTCAACTCCCACCATTCCTAACACCCTCAGGCCCTTCCTGAGTGTTTATGGTGACTGTAAGGATAGGGCAGGCCTGGGCCAACTTGGACCCTCCTTCCAGGTGTTTTGGACTCCAACTCCCACCATTCCTAACAGCCTCAGGCCCCTTCCTGAGTGTTTATGGTGACTGCAAGGACATAGGGCAGGCCTGGGCCAACTTTGGCCCACAATGTGTGTTTACTAGCCAGTGTCTCACCGTATAAGGTCGAGGAAGGAGTCCACCACCTCCTTGGCTTCGGGGACGTCCTCGGCGAATCCACCGGACAGAGCGGCGGGGTTGGCGGCCCCTTCTCCGGGCTGGATGAGGAAGGCCAGGGCCACCCCGACGGAGGAGGCCAGGAGGGTGGTCAGCAGGAAGAAGAGCATGGCCCATCCGCCCAGCTTGCCCAAGGCCGCTGGGTCCAGGCTGGCCGCGCCGGCCACCAGACTGCAGACCACCAGCGGGAGGATGATCATCTTCAGGAGGCGGATGAGCAGCTCTCCGGGGAAGGCGAAGAGGGGCACCTGCGAGGGGCCCAGGGCCGGGGCTAGACTCCGCACCGCCAGGCCCAGAGCCACCCCCAGCGCCACGCCGGCCACCGTCAGCACCACCAGCAGGTTGCCACGCAGGAGGCGGACCAGGCGGCGGGAGCAAGAAGGGGAGCCCTTTCGAAGGGAAGCCGGAGGAGGAAGGCCATCGGATACGGCTCCGTTGGAGGAGGAAGGGGCCTTGGCGCCCTCAAAAGGAAGGGCAGGATCCACAGCCATTGCCAGAAGAGGAAAAGAGGGACCTTGCAACAGGTGGGGGGCTAGTGAGAGATGTAAATATAGGGCGGAAGATAGAATATGAGGAGGAAAAGCTAAAACGAATGGGGTTCAGAGGGAATCAGTGAGGGAGAAAGGCTTGACCCAGAATAAAATTCAAATTGGGATTTCAATTCAAAGTCAATGTAAACAAAAATAATTTAGGGAAAATCTGCAAAGGTGGGGGCTAGTGAGAGATGTAAATATAGGGTGGAAGATAGAATATGAAGAGGAAAAGCTAAAATAAATGGGGTTCAGAGGGAACCAGTCAGGGAGAAAGGCCTGGCCCAGAATAAAAATCAAATTGGGATTTCAATTCAAAGTCAATGTAAACAAAGACAATTTAGAGAAAATCTACAAAGGCAAAGCTTCTCTCCTCTTAAAAATAAATGGGGTTCAGGGGTAACCAGTCAGGCCTGGAATAGAATGCAATTCAAATTGGGATTTCAATTCAAATTCAAAGGTAAACAAAGATAATTTAGCGAGGAGGATCCACTCCAAAATTGGAATCCCAAAAGTCAATGCTAAATAATATAATTTAAGGGAGGAGAATTTGCCTCCAAGTTTGGAATCTCAAAAGTCAAAGCAAAATTATAATTTAGGTAGCTGAATCTACAAAGGAAAAGCTCCTCCTAAAAATATAATTTAGGGATAAGTCAAGGCAAAAAATAATTAAGGAAGGGAATCTTAAACCCCAAATGTGGAATCCCAAAAAAGTCAAGGCAACAAAGGTAAATTTGGGGGGGAGAATCTGAACCCCTAAATTGGAACCCCAAAAGTCAAGGCGCGCATAAAGGAGGAGAATCTGCCTCCAAATTTGGAATCCCAAAAGTCAAGGCAAAAAAAAATATATTTAAGGAAGGGAATCTTAACCCCAAATTTGGATTCCCAAAAAAAGTCAAGGCAACAAAAGATAATTTAGGGAGGAGAGTCTTGCCCCCAAAATTGGAATCCCAATAGGGCAAAACTATATTATTATTATTATTTGAGGACAATCTTAACCCTAAAATTGAAAACCCAATAGGGTAAATTATATTACTATTATTATTATTATTATTATTAGAGGAGAATCTTAACCCCAAAATTGGAATCCCAATAGGGCAAAATTATTATTATTATTATTATTATTAGAGGAGAATCTTAACCCCAAAATTGGAATCCCAATAGGGCAAAACTATTATTATTATTATTATTATTTGAGGAGAATCTTAACCTCAAAATAGGAATCCCAATAGGGCAAAATTATTATTATTATTATTATTATTTGAGGAAAATCTTAACCACAAAATTGGAATCCCAATAGGGCAAAATAGTAATAATAATTATTATTATTATTTGAGATTAATCTTAACCCCAAAACTGGAATCCCAATAGGGCTATATTATTATTATTATTATTTGAGGAGAATCTTAAACCCAAAACTGGAATCCCAATTAAGTCAATGCAAAAAATATAGGATCTAGATTGATCTAGAGGGGCAAATCTACCCCCAAACTGGGTTCAAAGGGAATTACACAAAAAGCCAATTGTTTACATTGAGAAAGAGAGAAAAAACCTGGCCTTCAAATGGGATTTTTTGAAAAGCCAAAGCTACAAAAGGTACATATATATATATATATATATATATAAAATTTCAGGAGGAAAACAGGATTATTTCAAAGGAAAACTGGATTCAGACCAAACAAAAATAATAGTATTTTCTTCCAGGAGTGGAAATGCCAAGGAATCCCAGCCTCACTGTCTCTTCCAATGGATCTCCCAGCAGATCTGCCAATCTTTGTCCCAGGATCCAGCAGCAGAGAGCCCCAGGGAGCCCAGCCACGCCAAGGATCCGGTTTCCACGTGGCTGGAGTTGCAGCTCTGGCTCCCACGCGCTCCCTTCCGCCGCCACGCGGGATCTGCCGGGCAGAGACCTGGGCAGCCGCCTTTCTTAACTTTGCCCCGCCCCTTTTGGGATAAGCCCCGCCCCTTTCTTCCCATTGGGTGCAAAAATATGCACCGCCTCGGATTGGCTGACGCTTTCAGTCGTCAGCGTTGTCCATTCCGATGGAACCAAAGAAGAAACCGGGCGGCCTTTGACGTCCTCAAATGTGGGCGTGGCTTCACTGTGCGGGGCGTGGCTTATGCGACGGTGGGCGTGGTTTAGAGAAGGGTTTCCCGCCCAAATGGGCTTACTGCCTTTTTTACCTCAGAGACAGAGAAATGTCACCTCAGGTGAAGCCATTGAGATACAAAAAAACCACAAAAGCTCTGAGGTACTTATTTCATCATCATTATCCCTAATATTACTATTATTTGTACTTTATATTCATGTTTTTCTCCTCAAAAAGGGAGAAATATCACCATTGAGATCCAAAAAAGCACAAAAGCTCTGAGGTAATTATGTCATCATTATCACTAATATTACTATTTCTACTATATATTTATGTTTTTTATCCTCAAAAAGGGAGAAATATTACCTCAGGTGAGGCCATTGAGATACAAAAAAACCCACAAAAACTCTGAGGTAATTATTTCATCATCATTATCACTAATATTACTGTTATTTGTGCTCTATATTCATGTTCTTCTCAAAAAGGGAGAAATATTACCTCAGATGAGGCCACTGAGATACAAAAAAAACTACAAAAGCAATATTACTGCTATTTGTACTATATATTCGTGTTTTCTCCTCAAAAAGGGAGAAATATTACCTCAGATGAGGCCATTGAGATACAAAAAACCACAAAAGCAATATTACTGTTATTTGTCCTCTATATTCATGTTTTTCTCCTCAAAAAGGGAGAAATATTACCTCACACGAGGCCATTGAGATACAAAAAACCACAAAAGCTCTTAAGTAATTATTTAATCATCATGATCACTAATACTACTATTATTCGTACTATATATTCATGTTTTTCTCCTCAAAAAGGAGAAATATTACCTCAGATGAAGCCTCTGAGATACAAAAAAACCACAAATTTATTTATTTATTTATTTACTCCATTTGTATACCGCATATATCAGCCTAAAGCGGCGACTCTATGCGGTTTACAGTAAAAAACAACACTAAACAATGTATAAGACACACAATACAAACAACACATAATCATCAACGCCACACTTAGAATCAGAATACCGATCTCATAATCCATTTCCATTCCTTGTCCAATGCCGTCATTATTGAATTGGTTGTTACTGCATAGACTATCCGAATGCCTGCTCATAGAGCCACGTCTTCACCCTCCTCCGAAACACCAGCAACGAAGGGGAGAACAAAACACCAGAACAAAAGCTCTGAGGTACTTATTTTATCATCATTGTTACTAATATTACTGTTATTTGTCCTCTATATTCATGTTTTTCTCCTCAAAAAGGGAGAGATATTACCTCAGATGAGGCCACTGAGATACAAAAAACTACAAAAGCAATATTACTGCTATTTGTACTGTATATTTATGTTTTTTTCTCCTCAAAAAGGGAGAAATATTACCTCACATGAGGCCATTGAGATACAAAAATCCACAAAAGCTCTGAGGTACTTATTTAATCATCATTATTACTAATATTACTATTATTTGTACTGTATATTCATGTTTTTCTCCTCAAAAAGGAAGAAATATCACCTCAGAGGAGGCCATTGAGATACAAAAAACCACAAAAGCTCTGAGGTAGTTATTTAATCATCATTATCACTAATATTACTATTATATTACAGTGGATCAAGCTGATCACAGAGGTCGACATGGGCAGGAGCAGCCAGAAGGCATGGAGGTTGCTAAGACGGTTGAGCAATGACCCCTCACAAACTAATACCCATGCCAACATAAAGGCAGACCAGATAGCACACCAACTCTTGAAGAATGGGAAACCCAACCTTGCCACCAAAGTAGGAAAGAAACCAATAGCCAGACAACCAGAGATTGAGAACAACAACCTTCATGAACCCTTCACATCTCCTGAATTGGACATGGCTCTCAATAAATGTAAACATGGCAAAGCAGCTGGCCTGGATGATCTACGGAGGGAACAAATCAAGAACTTTGGCCCAAAAGCAAGGCGCTGGCTGCTGGAGTTGATGAACAACTGCACTGCATCCTGTCAGATCCCCAAAATCTGGAGGAAAGCAAGAGTCATCGCCATCTTGAAGCCAGGCAAAGACCGTAATGACCCAAAAAGCTACAGACCAATCTCCCTGTTGTGCCACCTCTACAAAGTTCTGGAGAGACTTATTTTGCATAGAATTACAGAAAAAATAGACCCCTGTCTGATTCCACAGCAAGCTGGCTTCAGAAAAGGCAAAAGCTGCACATCGCAAGTGCTGAACCTGACTCAGCACATAGAAGATGGCTTTGAAAGGCAGCAGATCACAGGAGCTGTCTTCATAGACCTGTCAGCAGCCTATGATACTGTGAACCACCGCCTCCTCCTGAGAAAAATGTATAATATCACAAAGGACTACCACCTCACCCGCCTCATAGGAAACCTGCTACAAACAGGAGCTTTTTTGTTGAGTTCCAGGGCCAGAGAAGCAGATGGCAGAAACAGAAGAACGGCCTGCCTCAGGGGAGCGTGCTTGCTCCATCCATGTTCAACATCTACACAAATGACCAGCCACGGCCAGAAGGGACAGAGAGCTTCATCTATGCTGATGATCGTGCCATCACCGCTCAAGCAGGGAGCTTTGAGATGGTTGAACAGAAGCTCTCCAAAGCTCTAGGTGCTCTTACTGCCTATTACAGGGAAAACCAGCTGATCCCTAATCCATCTAAAACACAGACATGTGCTTTTCATCTTAAGAACAGACAAGCATCCCGAGCTCTGAGGATTACCTGGGAAGGAATCCCACTGGAGCATTGCAACGCACCCAAATACCTGGCAACCATGTTTATCAGGCATGGGCACTACAAGAAGCACTGCCTGAACATCAAGCAAAAAGTGGGTGCTAGAAACAATATCATACGAAAGCTGACTGGCATAACCTGGGGATCACAACCAGACACAGTGAAGACATCTGCCCTTGCGCTATGCTACTCTGCTGCTGAGTATGCATGCCCAGTGTGGAACACATCTCACCACGCTAAAACAGTGGATGTGGCTCTTAATGAGACATGCCGCATTATCACGGGGTGTCTGCGCCCTACACCACTGGAGAAATTACACTGCTTAGCTGGTATTGCACCACCTGACATCCGCCAGGAAGTAGCAGCCAATAGTGAAAGGACCAAGGCAGAGACATCTCCAGCTCATCCCTTGTTTGGGTATCAGCCAGCACGTCAACGACTTAAATCTAGAAATAGTTTTCTAAGATCTACAGAGACACTTGCTGGAACACCCCAGCAAGCGAGAGTCCAAAAGTGGCAGGCTCAAACCCAGAACCTCAACCAATGGCTGATACCAAATGAGAGACTCCCCCCTGGGCACACAGAAGACTGGGCGACTTGGAAGGCGTGTGGAGAAGAGCAAACCACTGACCACCTGCTGCAATGCACCCTGAGCCCTGCCACATTCACAATGGAGGACCTTCTTGCGGCAACACCAGAGGCACTCCAAGTGGCCAGATACTGGTCAAAGGACATTTAATCAACTACCAAACTCTCAAATTTTGTATTTTGTCTGTTTGTTTGTTTTGTTCTGTTAGAAATGTAATACAGTTGACTGGTTGCCCTGACACGACAAATAAAATAAATCACTAATATTGCTATTATTTGTACTATATATTCATGTTTTTCTCCTCAAAAACGGAGAAATATTGCCTCAGATGAGGTTTCGCCCACATCTATGGCAGACATCTACAGAGGTTGTGAGGTCTGTTGGAACC